GGGATCTTGAAAACCGTGAGACTTGCAGGATATTTTTAAATCAATTCCTGGCCCCTGTTACTCAGTTACATAAGAAACATCCCGAAAAGATTGATACATGCTCCTACCTGAAAAATATTTCAATATTCTTATTTGGGGGAATTGTCATTTTTTTTATTTTTGGTCCAATATCGTTATAATAAAAAAAAAGAGCAAAATGTTTCCTGCAGAAACATGATATATAGAAAGAGATAGAAAAAGATGCCCCGGGGCAAATGGAAAATAGCCTGAGGGATCTTGAAAACCGTCAGACTTTTAGGAAAATCTTCAATCAATTCATGGCCCCGATAACTCAGTTACATAAGAAACATCCCAAAAAGATTGATACATGCTCCTATCTAAAAAATATTTCAATATCCTTATTTAGGGGAATTGTCATTTTTTAATTTTGGTCCAATACCGTTATAATGAAAAGTAGGAGCAATATGTTTCCTGCTGGGACATGATATAGAAAGTACCAATGCCTTATCCTTACCATCGTTTTTTGTGTATTTCTTGCAATCAAAAAGTTTGGAAAAAGATGCCCCGGGCAAATGGAAAATAGCAAAAGGGAACTTGAAAACCGTGAGACTTTCAGGAAAATCTTCAATCAATTCATGGCCCTGATAACTCAGATACATAAGAAACATCCCAAAAAGATTGAAACATGCTCATATCTGAATAATATTTCAATATTCTAATTTTCGGGAATTGTCATTTTTTATTTTTGGACCAATACCGTCATTTTGCAAAATCAGTGTATTTCTTGCAGTCAAAAAGTTTGGAAAAAGATGCCCCGGGCAAATGGAAAATAGCCAAAGGGATCTTGAAAACTGTCAGACTTTCAGGAAAATCTTCAATCAATTCATGGCCCTGATAACTCAGTTACATAAGAAACATCCCTAAAAGATTGATACATGCTGCTACCTGAAAAATATTTCAATATTCTTATTTGGGGGAATTGTCATTTTTTTTTAATTTTTGGTCCAATACCGTTATAATGAAAAGGAGGAGCAAAATGTTTCCTAATGCAACATGATATAGAAAGGAGGTATACGTTATCCTTACCCTCGTTTTTCGTGTATTTGTTTCAGTCAAAAGGTTTGGAAAAAGATGCCCCGGGCAAATGGAAAATAGCCAAAGGGATCTTGAAAACCGTCAGACTTTCAGGAAAATCTTCAATCAATTCATGGCCCTGATAACTCAGTTACATAAGAAACATCCCAAAAAGATTGAAACATGCTCATATCTGAATAATATTTCAATATTCTAATTTTTGGGAATTGTCATTTTTTATTTTTGGACCAATACCGTCATTTTGCAAAATCAGTGTATTTCTTGCAGTCAAAAAGTTTGGAAAAAGATGTCCCGGGCAAATGGAAAATAGCCTGAGGGATCTTGAAAAACCGTTAAGACTTGAAGGATACTCTTTAATCAGTTCTTGACCCTGAAAACTCAGTTACATAAGAAACATTCCGAAAAGATTGAGACATGCTTCTACCTGAATAATATTTCAATATTCTAACTTTTGGGTATTGTTATTTTTTATTTCTGGAAAAATACCGTCATTTTGAAAAATCGGTGTATTTCTTGGAGTAAAAAAGTTTGGAAAAAGGCGCCCCGGGCAAATGGCAAATAGCCTGAGGGATCTTGAAAACTGTGAGACTTTTATGAAAATCTTCAATCAATTCATGGGCCTGATAACTCAGTTACATAAGAAAGATCCCTAAAAGATGAATACATGCTCCTACCTGAAAAATATTTCAATATTCTTATTTGGGGGAATTGTCATTTTTTATTTTTTGTCCAATACCGTTATAATGAAAAGGAGGAGCAAAATGTTTCCTGCAGAAACATGATATAGAAAGTACCAATACGTTATCCATACTCTCATTTTTTGTGTATTTTTTCAGTAAAAAAGTGTGGAAAGAAATGCCCCGGGGAAATGGAAAATAGCCTGAGGGATCTTGAAAACCGTTAGCATTTCAGAAAAATCTTTAATCAATTCATGACCCTGATAACGCAATTACATAAGAAACATCCAGAGAAGATTGATACATGCTCCTATCTGAAAAAATATTTCAGCATTCTAATTTTGGGGAATTGTCATTTTTTATTTTTGGATCAATACCGTCATTTTGAAAAATCGGAAAAAAATGTTTCCTACTGGAACATGATATAGAAAGGACGTGTACGTTATCCATATTCTCATTTTTTGTATATTTTTTACAGTAAAAAAGTATGGAAAGAAATGCCCCGGGCAAATGGAAAATAGCCTTAGGGATCTTCCAAAAAAGCGTGAGGCTTTCAGGAAAACCTTCAATCAATTCATGGCCCTGATCACTCAGTTACATAAGAAACATCCAGGAAGATTGATACATGCTCCTATCCCAGGTGAAGAAAAATATTTCAATATTCTTATTTGGGGAAATTGTCATTTTTTAATTTTGGTCCAAAACCGTTATAATGAAAAGTAGGAGCAATATGTTTCCTTCTGGGACATGATATAGAAAGTACCAATACCTTATCCTTACCCTCGTTTTTCGTGTATTTCCTTCAGTCAAAAAGTTTGGAAATAGATGTCCCCGGAAAATGGAAAATAGCCTGAGGGATCTTGAAAACCGTTAAGACCTTGAAGCAGGAGAACTCTTTAAAATCACTTTTGACCCTGTGTCAATACATAAGAAACATTCCGAAAAGATTTACATGCTCCAATCTGAAAAATATTTCAATATTCTAATTATTGGCAATTGTCATTTTTTTTCACCAATACCGTCCGTTTGAAAAATCGAAGGAAAATGTTTCCTGCTGTGACATGATATAGAAAGGACCAATACGTTATCCATACCCTCATATTTCGTGTATTTCTTGTAGTTAAAAACTATGGGAAAGAATGCCCAGGGCAAATACAAAATAGCCAAAGGGATCTTGAAAACCGTGAGACTTGCAGGATATTTTTAAATCATTTCCTCGCCCCTGTTACTCAGTTACATAAGAAACATCCCGAAAAGATTGATACATGCTCCTACCTGAAAAATATTTCAATATTCTTATTTGGGGGAATTGTCATTTTTTTATTTTTGGTCCAATATCGTTATAATAAAAATTAAGAGCAAAATGTTTCCTGCAAAAAGATATATAGAAAGAGATCAAAAAAAAGATGCCCCGGGGCAAATGGAAAATAGCCTGAGGGATCTTGAAAACCGTAGACTTTTAGGAAAATCTTCAATCAATTCATGGCCCCGATAACTCAGTTACATAAGAAACATCCCAAAAAGATTGATACATGCTCCTATCTGAAAAATATTTCAATATTCTTATTTAGGGGAATTGTCATTTTTTAATTTTTGTCCAATACCGTTATAATGAAAAGTAGGAGCAATATGTTTCCTGCTAACAATGTCAGAAATTACCAATACGTTATCCTTACCCTCGTTTTTCGTGTATTTCTTGCAGTCAAAAAGGTAGGAAAAAAGATTCCCCGGGCAGAAGGAATTAGCCTGAGGGATCTTGAAAACCGTGAGACTTTTAAGAAAACCTTCAGTCAATTCATGGCCCTGATCACTCAGGTACATAAGAAACCTCCCAGGAAGATTGATACATGCTCCTATCTGAAAAATATTTCAATATTCTTATTTGGGGAAATTGTCATTTTTTAATTTTGGTCCAATACCGTTATAATGAAAAGTAGGAGCAATATGTTTCCTGCTGGGACATGATATAGAAAGTACCAATGCCTTATCCTTACCATCGTTTTTTGTGTATTTCTTGCAATCAAAAAGTTTGGAAAAAGATGCCCCGGGCAAATGGAAAATAGCCTGAGGGATCTTGAAAACCGTGAGACTTTTAGGAAAATCTTCAATCAATTCATGGCCCTGATAACTCAGATACATAAGAAACATCCCAAAAAGATTGAAACATGCTCATATCTGAATAATATTTCAATATGCTAATTTTCGGGAATTGTCATTTTTTTATTTTTGGACCAATACGTCATTTTGCAAAATCAGTGTGTTTCTTGCAGTCAAAAAGTTTGGAAAAAGATGCCCCGGGCAAATGAAAATAGCCAAAGGGATCTTGAAAACCGTCAGACTTTCAGGAAAATCTTCAATCAATTCATGGCCCTGATAACTCAGATACATAAGAAACATCCCAAAAAGATTGAAACATGCTCATATCTGAATAATATTTCAATATGCTAAAAGGGAATTGTCATTTTTTAGAGACCAATACCGCTACATTTAGAAACATCAGTGTATTTCTTTCAGTCAAAAAGTTTGGAAAAAGATGCCCCGGGCAAATGGAAAATAGCCAAAGGGATCTTTAAAACCGTCAGACTTTCAGGAAAATCTTCAATCAATTCATGGCCCTGATAACTCAGTTACATAAGAAACATCACAAAAGATTGATACATGCTCCTACCTGAAAAATATATCAATATTCTTATTTAGGGGAATTGTCAATTTTTTAATTTTGGTCCAATACCGTTATAATGAAAAGGAGGAGCAAAATGTTTCCTACTGGAACATGATATAGAAAGTACCAGTACGTTATCCATACTCTCGTTTTTCGTGTATTTCTTGCAGGACTCCATACAAACCTTAGGCCCTCTCAGTGCTTTACTATGACAATTTCAGAAAAATCTTTAGCACCTTCTTATCTAATCCCTCCTATTGCTTAAATATGTACAAAAAAGTTTCCCCGTCCCCAGGTGAAAAACAATTAAAGAAATAGCAGGTACCCCCTTTTATTTTTGTTTACAATTAATTTAAACAAGAGTAAAGCAATCCTTTTGATAACAAATCAAAGTTCAATATCTGTAGTCTTATACATTACAATCATAAGCTACATTTTTGAATTTCATGCTTAGAAAAGGAGAATTTAAAATCACTTTACAGTGTAAAAATTGGGGTCTCTATACTTACATACTTACCTGTCCCAGAATTAGTCAATTGTGGTAATTTCAAAGACTATACACCTACCTGTGAACATGTATGAAATTTGAGTCCTGTGACTTCAGTGTATTGGATACTGTGACCATCTCAAATGATGACACCTTACTGCTACCAGCACAGTTCAAAGGAGTGAATGACGTCTGGGCCGGTGATGATATTTGGATATATTGGTGACTGTAATAAATAAAATATTTGTACAAAGAATTGTTTTTGTTTTTTGATGTTAATAAAGTGATATTAAGTCAAAATTGAGTCAATATTTTCATAAGGGTGGATTCTACCCAGAATTAGGTAAAAAGCTCCAAAATTTGATAAATCATACTTAATTAAGCAGAATTCAAAGGTTTTAAAAAGACTGATATAGAATTTTTTTATGCTTATGCAAAGTAAATTATTTAAGACTCTGATATACTAATTGATTCTTATCTAATCCCTCCTATTGCTTAAATATGTACAAAAAAGTTTCCCCACCCCCCAGTGAAAAACAATTAAAGAAATAGCAGGTACCCCCTTTTATTTTTGTTTACAATTAATTTAAACAAGAGTAAAGCAATCCTTTTGATAACAAATCAAAGTTCAATATCTGTAGTCTTATACATTACAATCATAAGCTACATTTTTGAATTTCATGCTTAGAAAAGGAGAATTTAAATAATTTTTTTAAAAATTAAAGGAAAACAAAAACTGACTTCAAACCGCAAAATGTACTAAACAATAAGAGGCTGGAAATTAAATAAATGAAAAATTTACCTGCAATGTACAGAAAACTGTCCGACAAAATACATCGGGTGGGTAGGGAGTCTCCATCTTCTTCTTATATAGAGAAAATGCCCCCGCTGATCAGAGACCGAGCACTCCCGGGGCCAAGAAAGCTGAAAGGTTAAAGTCCTCTAAAGTGCTTAAATGAAAATAAATCAATAAAATTAGTCAAATTAAGCATAAATCCTGAAAGAAACAACAATATTTTTCAAGTTTTCTAAAAATTTCCTTAATTACATGTCTTCTACATATCTAAATGTATGAAAAATGGATCCGCCAAGGGTGCAATACATGTTTTTCAATATTACATGTTATTACATGTAAATATAATAAAGGTCAAATGTCATACATGCAGTCCAAGGTCATTACAATAATTTATGAAAAAAAATCAGAAGCCAAAGGTCACAACAGTTAAGATATCATCATGTTGAAATTCTACCTGTCTGGTCAGCAGGTCTAAGGGAAGTAACTCTAAGTGCAAAAACTAGAAACCATTAGAAAGTGAGTCGCAGCGAGTAATTCTGATGAAACTACAAAGAGCGAAAAAAGAGAAAACATAGACCTTTGTGTAGCTACAACATAGAAACAACAAAACTACAAATTGATCACCCTGCAGCCAAGAAAGGGGGGGGGGCAATCCAGAGGAACACATACACTACCAAACATGAGATGACAAGACAGAAAATGCCCTCCTTTCACTTGTCCATCACAAAAATTCCTTTTATGTGCCACCTTAATTATTTGAAAAAATGCCAAAAGTGCAAAAGTCTAAGAAACTAAAAAAAATTGAACACCAGGTCACTGTCCTACACTTCCATAATATACACAGATAGAGCAAAACATAATAAATACACAGTCACATGTACATGCAAAATACATACATAAATCTATGCATACATACAATCATTCATCTTAAGAACAATCTAATACATTTTCTTAACTTACCTTCCTCCTTTGACCATGTCAACTGTACAGGGCTTTACTAATTTCTATCTTCTCTTACCCCCCCCCCCCTCCTTCTCTCTTCAATAGACCCAAATCACCACTAATCCAATTACCGCAGTAAACTAATTCAAATTTTTGCTAAATTTTCTCTCGAAATGTCATCAATCTTCAAATAATTAGCTAAAAATAACATTTCATGACTTTCAAATCACTGTATCTGCGTAAGAATCTTTAGAAAACTGGAAACAAAGCCTCGTCCTATATAGTAAGTTCGTCCTATCTTAGGATTTTTCAAAAAATAAGGCTGAAAATGAGCCTTTCGACCTATATACCCCATCGACCTAATATCCAAAAATTACGGGTAATTAGATTTTTTTCTATGATTCATTTGTGTATTGTTCCATATTGTGCTTTGTTTAGGATTTTACTTTTGCAAATATCCATACACTGCAGATATGTATTTTTTCCTCTACATCTCACTATTCTACAATTGAATGGTGCTGCAATTTTAAGTTAAAAGTCAAAATGGCGATTCAAAATGGCGGATATTCATTTTTTCCAAATTATTTCTTGATGTCGTTCATTTGTGCTTATTGAGCGTAGTACAACTATGTAAAATGACAATAGAACACTAATATTATCACTTTAAATCGGAAAATTTAGTCGTTTAAATTTGAAATGTGTTAATTAGCTCAAAATGGCAATTCAAAATGACGTCATATACACTCGAATTTCGTAATATACCCAAACTGCTTAATTCTGAGTCGTTTTCAGAAAATAAATTACAGTTTGTTTTTATATTTAGTATATATAGCATATTGATTAGTCCATTAAATATGAACAAACAAAAAATACTAAAAAATTTCATTTTTTTCTGGAAATAGTTAAAACAAAGTCGACTAAAGACTTTCCAAATTTTCCCCTCGTGTTATTCAAAGCCTTTGAACCCCTTCCACCTAAAATCACTCCTGAATCGCTGTCATTATCAATTCGCACCTCAGTCCACTTCAACATCCCTCAGCACACCATCGAATAAAACTGAAAAGAATCTTGTCCGATTTCATCGAACACTTTGTTTTAGCTGATAAAAAGCTTAGTATTATCCCCTAGCATCTTCTATTTGAACTTTATTTGCTATATGTTTTAGTCTGTCTTCGAAATTTTGGTATTTTCACTACTCAAGTAAAATTGTGCCCCGTGTCACATTTATGTTCAAATGTTAAAAGTACTAGTATATATATTTTTTTTTATAATTTATTGTATTTTTTGAAAACATTTTTTACAAAAAGACAAACATTGAGAGAGAGAGAGAGAGAGAGAGAGATAAAGAGGGGATAGAGAGAGAGG